GGCGGCGCAGCCGGAGCCGGGATGGACACGGCCGACACCTATCCCCGCGGCGCAGGGCGAGGAAGAGGAGCAGGAGCAGGTCCCCTCCATCCCGTGGGGTCAGGCAGCGCCATGACACCGACTCAGAGGACTGAGCAGCAGCCTGGGGTTATTCCAGGGAGATCTCCCATAGGATTATTATATTTTTTAGGGATATTAAATTAAAAAGCTGCAGCTCCGGGGCTGAGCCTGGCAGAGGCCATTTGGGATGCCACCAGCCCCTTCCCTGCCCACACCTGGGGCAGCACCAGCAGCTCCCCAGGGCCGTGGTGGGAGGCAGGAGGTGTCCCAGAGCCCCTTTTCCTCACTCCCTGGATCCATCCATCCATCCAAGAGGGGGCTGTGGGGTGGGAGCTGGTGCTGGGATGGTCTGGCTGTGGTGCTGGAAGTGCTGTGGATACCTCGTCTTTAATGGATAGAGACTTTGAATGAGATTATTATGATTATGATGATGGTTTTTCTTTCACTGCCCTTGGGTGCCTGTCAGGGCAGCAGCTGCAGGAGAGTTTCTTTCCTTAAACCTTCTCATAAATTCATCATGGAATGGCTTGGGCTGGAAGGGACCTTAAAGATCGTCTAGTTGCAACCCCCTGCTGTGGGCAGGGACACCTTCCACTGGCCCAGGTTGCTCCAAGCCCCATCTAACTTGGCCTTGAACACTTAATTGCTTGGCTGACAGGGACAAGATAGATAAAACCAAAGTGTCTTCCATAGGTTTTTGCCCTGGCCACATCCACCCACCCCAGGGTGCAGCAAACTCCATTCTCATCCAGGATTTTAACCCTCAAAACATGAGTATGTATGGACTTGGAGCACTGAAAAAGGGAAATTTTCTATCAATAAATAGAAATATTGATCCAAATGGAAAGGGATTGTCCCAAGAGCTCCAGGCCAGGGCATCTCCAGCTGGATGGCCGTGCCAAGCACAAGGGCCTCCTTTGTGTAATTACTGATGGGATTTAAGACAGGCTGAGTTTGTGTCTTGGTGGACAAAAGCCCAGGGCTGGCGAGTGGCCTCGGGCTGCACATTGGCAGCGTTGGGGGGTCTCCTGCCATCTGGGGGGCTGTGACACCACCCAGCCCGTGGCCAAGCGAGAGGGGACAGGGCACAGGGTGGAACAAGGACAGCATTCATGGAAGGACACAGCAGGATCAGGGTGAGGAGCTGACATAAAGCCCTTCTGTCCCACGTCCCTCCCTGGCCACTAGCACGTGCTGGGCACAGGCAGAGGGAGATGCTGTGGAGCAGTCGCAAGCTTGGGTGATCCCTCATGTCACCCCAAGATGTTTTTGGGGGGGCTTAACAACCTTTTGCCAGCATCACAGGGATATTACTCATGCTCTGAGCAGATGCAGCCCCAGATCCAGCCCAGGGACCCACGTGGCGTGGCCCTGAGCCCACATGCTCCTTGGCTGGGGACTCTGACCCTGCTGGAATGGTTTGGGCTGAAGAGACCTTAAAGATCATCCCATTCCAACCCTCTGCCATGAGCGGGGACACCTTCCACTAGCTCAGGTTGCTCCAAACCCCATCCAGCTTGGCCTTGAACACTTAATTCCTTGGCTGACAGGGTTAAGACCACGGTGTCTTCCATAGGCTTTTGCCCCAGCCACATCTACCCACCCTAGGGCACAGAAAACTCCATTCCCATCCAGGATTTTTTTTAACTCTCAAAACATGAGCATTTATGGACTTGGAGCACTGAAAAAGGCGAATTTTCCATCAATAAATAGAAATATCACTGAGTTCTGGGTCATTCTCATGGGGATTTTGGGGGTCCAGGCTGCAGCTGGAGCCTGCTGGGAGCATCCCAGTGCAGGCCAGTGTGGAGCAGGGCTGTGCTTAGTGGGAACTGGACACTGGGAGCTTCAGGCTGGAAAGGGAACTACAGGAGAGTGGAAATACCACCGCAAGCAGAGAGAACAAAAATCCCCGTGTCCTGCTCTCTCCATAGGCTCCTGCTGCCCCTGCCTTCATCTCTCAAGCAGATGGGACATGCTCTGGGCAGGGCTCAGCTCTGCTAAGATGATTTGCACCCACAGTTCTCTCTGTCCCAGCTGGTGCCAGAGGGTGCTGTCTGCCAAGTGTGATGCCAGAGGGGCTATGGCATGGCTATCCCAGCTCAGTTCAGCTCTCCTGAGCTTTTTCCTGCCTCCCATGTCACAGCTTAGCCTCTCCTACCATCCCTCCTTCCTGCTTCATCCTCAAACCCAAGATCTGTGCAAAACGGTTGGAGAAATAGGGATAAATCCTAACTGAGGGTGAGGGGGATGAAGGAGCACAGCCCCATCCCCACCCCAGGGCTGCTCACCCCATCCACCTCCCTGTCCAGAGCTGCATCAATTCCTGGGTGGACTGTGCGCAGGATCCTTTCCCTGAGTGTGAGCCACCTCCTGCCTGGCTGCTGGGTGTCCAAAATTCCTGGAGGCTTGGCTGAGATTGAACAGAGCAAAGCCTGTGCTGCCTGGAGCAGAGGGCAGAGCACAGCTCCGATAACATCAGCACATTCCCCCATGTTTTCCACAGCGAATTTGGTGCATAGAGGAGGAATATCCTAACCTAGCTCACCCTTTAGGTTCAATTCTCTCCCAGAACAGGAACAAAATGATGTCCTGCCCTATTAGGGATGCAAAAATCCTGATTCACAGCTTGAAATTCCAAGGCAAGGCTAACCAGACTTGCAGGAGAGGTTTGTGATCCTGAACTTCCCCAATGCTCTTTACCCTTTACAGCCACTGTCTGTTAACCATCCAGAGTCCAAGGTTTCCCCACTGGGAATTCACTAACCTGCATGGACCCTTCATCCTACAGCTTTCCAGCCTGTGTAATGGGGAATCTGCTGCAATTCCAGCCAGGAAAACAGCCAGCAGCTGGCTGGCAGCCCAAGCCTGACTGCTGGGGAGAAGCTGCAGCTGACAGCAGGATCAGCTGGAGGAGGAGCTCTGTCCTGGATCCAGAGGGGACTGCAGAGTGGCCTAATGCAAAGCAAAGCAGTTAGGAAGGCTGAATTCCTACTTTTTTCCCCCGTGCTAATTCACAGATCCTGTCATTACATGGGATCTGCAGGACTAACAATGTGTTGTAGGTAGATAGATGGGACCACCCAAGAAGTTTAAGAGATGCCCTTGAGGCAATGACTGCAGCAGAACTCAAGAATCACCAACCAACAGGACCCAAGAAGCAACACCCACTGCAGGACTCCAACTAGGAATGATACATTACTTGGAAAACACAGGAGAGATCCTGAAATTTTCCTGCACATTGTAGTATTGGTCGGATTTTGCCCAGAGATGCTACAAACCACCACGAAACCAGTGCAAGTTTCATGAAACTTTTTATTCAACAAGTATCTCATTATGATTCTGCCAAGATGATCGAATGAACAGCAAGGCATAAAAAACATGAAATAGTTAAGAGATTTTTATTCTAATAGCTTTAATTACAGTGCTTGTTTGTCGAAATGAAAACTGAAAACAAGTATACAAAACAGTTGATTACTAATTGTGTATTGAAAGCAATAAAGGTTTCCACAACACTAAATAAACCAGTTCTGATAGTTCCTCGAGTTAAACAGCTCCAGCTTTCTTCAGTGTTTATCAAAATACAAAAAAGAAAAGTAAAGAGGTCTTTTTTTTGTTTTTCTGATGGCAAATCTGAACCTTGCAGTATGAGGGATGCCAAGGGTTTTCACACATATACAGATATGGGATTGTTCCAAAATGGGACTGAATATTCTAGAGTGGAATGACTCTCCAAACTCTCATGCTTTTTGTTGTTTTTTTTTTCCTAGACACTATACATAGATGTTTGGTGTTTTTCATGGCAATTCTTAAGTACAGTACTTTCTGCCTATAGAGCTTAGGACTAGGACAGGCTGTGCTTCCTGTGGAAAGGTTTTGCCTTCTGGAGTGGTTTACACACAAGAAAAGTACAAAACACTTTTTTTTTTTTGACAAATACAACAGGCTAAAAATGTTGACTTGTGGATATTATTCAAGTTCAATGGAAATGAGAAATGTCACCTGAACCAAAAGTCAGATGTTTAGCATGAGTCTGCAAAGCTCATCTAAACCAGGCCCAGCAAATCTTGTAAGGGTTGTGAACAAAGGTGAGCACAGACCGTGAGCTACAGAAAGAGCCAAAGATCTACTAGTTATGATCTGTTCTTTAAGCAGATGAAGCTAACTGGGTGTTGATCATTGCTTCACCCTTTCAAAAGAATCAAGAGTCACCACGTTAGAGCTGGAACAGCAGAAGCGATGGCAAAACGTTTGTGTGTCGAAGTGTTTTTACTTTTCCTTGTCTATTTAAAAAAATACAGAATTCAGGTTAAAAACCAACCACCAAAATGGATCTCACAGATCTCACAACCCAACCCAGATAGAATTCAGCTCTACTGCACAAGGACCACTGGCAAACCGTTATGTTATCCCACTGAAATCCCTTTCCAAGTACTAAACAGTGACTTGATTCTTTACAATAAAAAAGCTGAGTAATATTGCATAGGAGTACCAGAAACTGCCTCATTGGAAACAAAAACTATTTACATTAAATAAGAAACCTAACTGTTTTCAGGCTTGTATTTGCCACATTTACAGCATGATGCAATATATACTGTGACAAAGAAGAAATGAAAACAGCTTCCGGCACTCAATACCACAAAGTAGCACAGTTTGCCACATTAGAGTAAAGCGAAGGGCGAAGAGGAGGAAATAAGAGGGAAGGGTGGAAAAAGAGGGAAGAGGAAGGGTTATGGTTTCATTTCTGGTTTCGGAGCTGATTGGACAACCAGTCCAGTCCTTCATAGAGACCATCTCCACTAGTGGCACAGGTTGCCTGGATGTACCAGTTCCTGTGACGAAGAGAATGCAGTCCGAGTTTGTCTGTGATTTCTGCTGCATTCATCGCGTTCGGCAGGTCCTGAGGGAAGGAACAAGAGTCATTGTCTCCCCAACTCTTTGGATCAGCAGTTTTAAAGGCATTCAAAGAAAGTTAAGAGCTCTCAGAACTCCTCTTTCAGAAAAAACGAGTGGATTATTTTGATATTTTAGCTATTTCCACTACACTGACAAAGCCTCAAAGCTCACATTATGG